GAAAAAGGTGTTCAAGTGATATGTTGAAGTTTATATTTTAAGTAAATTAGACCTTGGTAATCAATAAAGAGTAATAAGTAATTTTATTACTCACACACCTGAAGAAGGCTCCACGGCAGAAACGTTGTGTTCTCTTTCTTCTTTTTTTCAGCATGGAATAAACCTATTACTTGTAATTTTATTAATGTTTATATTACACTTAGGTCGCTAAAATAAAATAAATTTAGCACTGAGTGTGTTGTACTGTATATATTTAATGTGAAAAGGATAGTATCATTTTATATAAATCCTTTGAGATTGTAAAGATTCAACGTTTCCAACTAAAAAAAATTGAAACTTCAATAAAAACGATTGTATTTGAGATGTTTCTCTATATAGGAACAAGTAAAGGTTTATTCCATGCTGAAAAGAGAAGAAAAACAATGTTTAAGCTGTGGAGCCTTCTTCATATATATTTATGTAGAAATATATTCCACAGGTATGCTCACTATTTCAAGACCTAACATGTTATAAATATGTTTCCTGTTTTAACTGTGACACTTGCAAGAACTGGACTGATAGGCTGATTCTTCCTGAATCTTTTCAGTTTCAGACACCAGACTGATGGACCAGGTGAACTCAGACTCTTACCCGTTACTGAGAGACTCACTCCAGGATCACCAGCCCATTTACCTTCAGGATCATTGGTTTCAAATCTGAATCTATATGTCCCCTGGTCAGATGTTCTTATATCCTTTATCTTCACAGTGCAGGTCTTCTGTTTGTCCCCCAGATACTCTACTCTGCCCCTGTAGTTAAAACCGTGTCCACTGTGGTAAATGTATGTGACTGTATTAGGCTCTGGAATACAGTCTTTATCATTATAACACCACATCACTGTTGTCACTTGGAGTTTATACTCTCTATACTGTGTAGAATACTGTGTAAAGGTGTTGGGATAGTCATAGGAACAGTTAAAGACCACAGAGGAGCCTCTCACAGCACAGACAGGTCTCTCTGGATACCACACAGCCCACGGGCCACAGAGGACACCTGCAGAGACACCAGTTCACCCATCAGCATTAACCCATTAAAATATAGTAGTAAAGTACCAGTGAAAGAAACGGGTTTGTTTGCCTTTAGTTGTGTCCTCATTAATGATGAATTTCTTAGAACAACAATAATGACTGATCTATTGTTGGACTCAAATCAGTCCTAGTTTGAAAAAATGTCGCTAAATTGTCTTATGCTTCTATCTCCGTAGTCTGAGTGCTGTTGGGAAATGTTTATTATCCAAACCCAGGAAAGCTCAGAGCTCCACAAAGATGTGAGTGTTACACTGTTGAAGAATGTGCAGTGAAGGTGTGACAAGTCTGAATTTTGTACAGTAACAGAAATACAGTCCTTACTGCTGTAACACGATAGTTGCATTCTTTTGAGACCTCGCACTATAAAAAATTGTGCAATAAAAATAACAGGGCTTATTGAAAAAATAGGGTTAGGGTCACACCACCAAAAATATTACTAAAAATCGAAACAAATATAGTAGCCTAACGCAAAGCACAGCACAGTTTAATTAAATGTTAAATAATATCACTCAGACTTGTTCCAGCAATACAGTTTGCTTTCTAATTTTTTCTGCATTGTCTCTAAACAGCATTCAGCTACTCTTCAATAGCATTACAGCCAATCTGTGTTGACGAAATGTGTAGTAGCAGAAGTGACTCTACCACAGCTTAACTAGAAAGAATAGATCACTGTTGGGTGGAAGTACATATGTCCTGTATCTGTGTAGAATAGGTTTAGTTTGTCATATCAAGTTTAAACATAAAAACAGGAAAAGCAAAAGTGTGTTCATATATAAAATGAAGTGCATTTCTCATGGCATGCTCAATGAGAGTCACTGCATCTTGACTGTAAAAATGCATCTTTACAGTGAAGTGACCGGGGCATCAAGATACTGACTGATGTTTTTGGACAGTAGTTTCCCCCAGAAAGTCACATCATCCTTTTAAATACTTAAAGTCTATTTAGTTTTATACTTGTTCTCTTGCAGTGTCGGAGCAGACTCTAGAGGGCGCTGTTGCTGCCCAGCTGCCTGTGGCTGTGTCTCCAGCGAGGGGCTGGTCCACACTGTGCAGGCGCTCAGTCTCACCAGGCAGGATTAGCAGAGTCGCCCCCCATGAGCAGAGGGAGTCTTCAACACCCATGGCTGCAGCTTCTCTTCCCTCCTGCTGCTGGGAGTCAGAGCTCAGTCACACAGGGGATCAGGCAGAGACCCGGGAGAAGAGTCTCTCAGTCCTGCAGGGCGTCAGTGTGGAGATTTGTGGCAGAAAGGTTAAAATGAAAGCAATAAACATTGTATAGTATTACAA